GTTTCTAAAAAGACTAGGAATTATAAACTGACCCTTTTTTTTCACAACACTTCTCCTGACTTTTCAGTTTATCACTCGAGTGTTTGTTAATACAGATATTGAGCATATTTCTGTAATACAAGAGGGTGTGGTTTTATAATGTGAAATAATTTCCATGTGGATATTAGTTAACTCCACTTAATAACGGCAGGTTTGAACAGAAAATTTATAGAGTACTTGTAATTGAAAATTTAAGTTTTAAACATACATTAGAATTTAAGGAGACAGAACACATATTGATGGGGAAATTGAACACAGTCTTTATTTACAAAGGAAAGTAAACAGAAATGTATTTGTACATATGTAGACACTGACACAATCACTGACTGACTTCTGTAGAACTATATTCAAGCATGAAGTGGGTTTAAATGAGAAAGGATGACTGCTTCAGTCATGCAAGAAAACTTGTATACTTTCTCTTGTTTTGTGGGAAAATGTGCACCAAAATTTTACATTAGGTCAAACTAACTTCTAAAACAGCTTAAAAAAGAGGTTTAAAGTCGCCTCTCTCATGTCTCGACTTAAGCTGTTCTAGAGGGACCTTCCATAAATCTCTGTGCAGGGGAGATGACAAAAATATGGCTCCACTAGAAACATTTAACTCTGAAAGGGAATGATATAAAATGGTTAGACACTTAGTTGGTCTCTTCTTCACCTCTGGAAGTGAGTTCCATTTAAAAAATTTTAAGACAATCAATATTTTTGACATTTAGGAGTATGGAAGGACTTTGTAACATTCTCTGCTCGCATTGAAAGTTATGAGTCTCTACCTCAGGCTTACACATAGATTGAGTGCATTTTAGTGGTGTGTGTGATCATCAATTATATTGACACTTGGTCATTTGTTGCAAGCACTTGATGGTCATTTCCATAATAAATTTTAAATGATAGTTTAATAAAAGACGAATATTTATTGGTAATATTAATTTTGTCGATCGTGAAGAAATCCGCAGTCTAAAAAACAACAGCACTCCTAGAGAATGCAGCAAACTGAATAATTTTATTTGAACCCGCTTGTGATTGGCTGAAATATAGGTCAATATCAGATGATGATGTCAGCTGCAGAATTTCGCTGTGACAAGGGATTTCCCAAGAGGATAATCTCTGATGTAGTAACAAAGCTAGGTCTGTTATTGGTTGGTCTGTGTAGCGAGTTGTATGATGAAGGCACCAATATTTGTTTCAAAATGGCGGAGGCTGTTGCCACAACAGAAGGTCATGGCAAAACCCACAAAATTTATGACAATCCAGGCCCACTTACAAGATCACGGGCTTAGAAATATTTCTGCTTTTACAAAGATGAAGAAAACTGTCACATTTGAGTAAAGTTACCAAAAATTGCTTGTATATAAGCAAGGCTATTTGTAAGCTTTGTTGAAAATCATATGCATACAGAGGTTGGTTTACATCGTAAGTTCATAACCCATATCACGTCGATCTCCCAGTCAGTATCGGCTGCACAGACCACGAATTCACTTAACTGTAGAATTGGTTTGCGAGTTTAATATAATTTCGCAACAACTTTATTAAAAAAGAAACAAAATCTTCTCTTGCCTAAAGAAGCTGAAAGCCACAAACTGACAAGCAACACTGTGGAACAGCACTCTGGATATGCTGGTGCTTCTCTTGAAACAAAATCCAGCACAGTATGCTGCTGTCATGGACTCTTCCATAGGAAAGAAACTGGTGAGGAAATGTGAAACCATTCAGATGGGCTACAGAAATCTTGTCTGTAGATAAAGTTCCAATTCTCCCAAAGGTCAAATTAAAGAAAGCTGTGGAGGTAAAAGAAGATGATGCATCAGCCATTATCAAAAGTAAAAAAATAATTCAAGCGCAACTGGACAACAGAATGGAGATTGACTATGACATTTTTTTTCTCAGCTCCCTGGTGAAACTTTCAACCAAAGAACTGAATTTTGTGGAAGCTGATAAATGTGAGCATGCAAGAGATTTGTTGTGGAAAGCAATTGGAGATTTGCCTGGCATTGTAAGTGAGGAGTCTTCACTTCCAGGGGACCAAGAGGATCTGCCCTTTGAAAAAAAAGAACATGATGATCCTATCCCTAGCAGTAGCACCAGTATGTTAAATGAAAATCATGCTACACAACAGAGCCTAGGTGATGAACTATCACAATTAAAGCCATCCAAGAAAATGAGGTTAGAAACACCAGCTAGTGCAGCTATGGATTGGCTGGACGATGTGATTTGCATGATTGAGGCAGCTAATGGTGTGTCAAACTTTGAACAAGTGAGGGCTGAGATGGACAGATACATGTCTGAACCAGTGGCCAATGTGGAATTGCTGGGTTGGTGGAAAAGCAAGAATGCTTGTATCCTAGAATTTCGGTTATTGCCAAAAATTACCTGTCAATACCTGCATCTAGTGTTGTGTCTGAAAGGGTTTTTAGCATAGCTGGAAACATCATAAGCAATAAAGATCATAACTGAAACCAGAAAATGTGGACATGATGATATTTTTACATAAAAATGCTCACCTGTTTGTGTAAGTTGCAAATAAGTCTGAAACTATTTTTTATTGTTTATTAATACGTACATCTTAATAAGCAATACAGTAATACATACAGTAATTTGACATACAAATTATGATTGTAATTTCAATTTGACATACAACTCGTGATGTTGGTTTGACGTACGAATACAATGCTAATTGGTTGGTCATGTCACTTCAATCATGATTTCACAACCAATTCCCACTACTAGTGCATGATTATTATCGATGGATAAAGTCAATGCTCTCTCTTTGGTCCATATCCTATGAAAGGCACAGAATCCAAGTTCATAAGTGCAAACAACACTAAAAGAATACTGAACCATTTCCAGTATTGGGGCTGGCCTGCTGCAGTCTTACTCTCCAATCCAACTGCTTTGAGTACAGGTGAAATTCCATGGTGATGTGGACTCCTAACTAGGAGATACGCTGTTGTTAAAATTTAAGATTCAAGCCATTTTCAATGACTTGAAAGATACAGAAGCTCTCAGGGATCCACTTTTTGGAGAATTCTTCTTTACTGAGTTTAAGGTGATCAGCTCTTAGATGCAGGCAAAAGTTTTTCTTAACATTCTTCAAAATGTTCGTGATGTCTTCAAGCATTCTCTGAAACATACCCCTCCATCTGGTTGCCCAGATCTGCACTTATAACTCTCCTAGTAAATGCAGAAATGATAAACATGAGATTTAGTAACAGGAATTGGATGAAAGAAAAGTACAGTACAATACATGATATACTTGATGTCAAAAATGAAAACAAATTTTCTTCATATAGTTACAGACATAGCACGGTCATACATAACTTAACGTACAGTTTCTGTGCTGGTGCAAAACAGGCAGTTGTTTACTGTTGTTACTTTAAATCTGTTTAATCTTGCATGGATTGAGACAATTTCGTTGGCTATCTGCAATGTGAGATCATGCCTCGATGCTTCAAAATGTTTCAATTTCGAATTAACCCTGTCCCATACTTTATTTCAGTCTATGGTGGTGAAGTTGGCTTGTACTTTTGGCTGACATTCTCTTTGCATTAACTAGCTTTTGCTTCCATGTCATTTATATATTCTTTTGTTGTTGTTTCTTAGGGCTGGGATTATATTTTTAAGGTGAACTTTAAGATACACTGGTGTTGTTGTTTCATTAGCAGATCTGGTTGCATCATTGAATATCCTATTGTGTGGTCCAAATAGATATATTGTAAATAATATTCCTGGGTGTTCTGATTTTAGCAATGTGCATGTGAAATTTGGCCATAATGCTGTAAGATGTTTGTCAATTTCTGTTCTACTTAACCCTCCTTTCTCTGGGGGGAGCGGGAGGTTGACTACTTCTCTGATGATTAATTGTGGTTTATTTGTCCAGATATGTCTGTACAACTTTGTGTTTATTTCTTTAAGT